GACGCTACAACCCAGAGGTCAGCCATCTTCTATGAATGTAGGAAGTAATTACAGATAGCCTTCGATTTGCGTCCGTTTAATTTACGCCGATTCAGAATAACGCCTATTTTGAAACCAGCAAGTGAAAAAACTTATTTTACTATTATTTATAACGTTTTATAATGTATCTCGTACTGATTCTTATACTAAATTGTAATTCTTACATCGCTGATTTTGAATAAAATTTATAAATACACTAATCTCTGCAATTACGTATGTTTCGTTAACGCAAATTTGCTCCAATGAGATCGATGAATCGGTAAAAGTTGATTGTGAAATGCAAACTTTTGCATATGCGAGTTTGCTCTTATGCAATTTCATTCCTATCGCTTTAAACTTTCAAAGGACTAATTTAATCTCTGCGGAGGTACCGGGGTTATTTTTACTACGCGATTTTCTATAGGTCGGCGTCTTATATGAATGCAACTATCGCAAAACAGCAGAGATGACCATACACATCACTCACATGAAAGAATTGAAATCAATCGCGTGGACCAACGAATTGCCGATTGTAAGTGTATAAAATGTATTTTTTAAATTACCTTTATTTTATTTACGTTTTTTCAGAGCTTTAAATGTAATGCCATTATATTACTCGTCAATGTTTGGGTGCTGGGAACTCATGTCATTGACTTCCCACTGATTTATATTATAAAAGAGTTTCAATTTACGCCGATTCGTCCAGGAACGCATCCCCGGCGTAAATCGAGGGCTACCTGTACCTGAATTAAGTCGGGAGATACCAGTTTCAAATATCAGCCGGGGGTGGGGGGTCTAGATTTTTTAAAAAAATACGAATACTAACCCCCCCACACCAAACGAGCGACAACTTAACAGACAAAACAGCTGCATTCCAGGGGCAACCACTTCGAATTCCAGTCGAACGGTCACCCCTGGGTTTACTCGATCCCTCATACGCACCTCCGCCGTTCCTGAACACAAGGTACGGGAACCTCCATACATTTCCCAGTCCGACAGCATAGTTGAGGCACGACAGGACGAACTCCAGTTGGCTGGACCAAGCACCGCGCTCCTGCATCCTACCGCGACCGCTGGTTCTGGCAGACTGAGCGAGCGATTCCAGTGCAGTAATGAGGAAGACCCAGGTGATGATGACTTACTCGAATTCTCGATTAGAGGCCACCAGCACCGGATTCATCTGGCACAGGAAAGGCGGAAATGACAGGCTACTGTGAAAACGTGATGAATACCTGGGTTCCACGAAAGGAGGGGAGTATCTTGGCTAGATGAGACACGATAAGCTTATCAAGGACTCGGTTCTTATGGAATTGAACCACCATGACCACGGCGGTATTTAAATTCAGGGGCTGTGATTGCAAGATGCCGTAAATTCGAGGTAAGGAAAAAATGTAACTCTGGAATCAGATTTATCAGCAAATTTCATGCGCTTAAGAAGTGACAGGCGAGGGGAAGGTACGGTGTCGGTATTCTTAACCTAGGCACTAGATGGAGGTGAGCGACCTTCAGTTTCCGATCGCTTCACCTCTAGTGAGAGGGCTCCTGTTATCCATTGGAGAGGAGGATAGATGGCGGCCACATACAATCTACCTCGGCAGGGAAGCGAATTCCAGCCTGCTTATGGGTGCAAAATTGAATTTTGAAAGTCGCCGCGGTTTCTTTAAGCAGCCTTTTCAGTTGCGATGTCGAAACACTGACAGATATGCAAAAGTTGACAACCAAACCGAGGACCAGATTCAAGAATCACTGTGTTTGCGGTAACTCTCGTTATGAGGAAGTTCTTTCGAAAGCCAGATATTCCCCACTCAGAGCATGATGCGAGATCTGTAGTTGGGGAAAGTCAAATATCCTGTTTTTCCCCCCCATGAGTAAGCAAACTTCGTCGATATTTCCGGCCTTACACTTACGTCTGGTTTCTTTCTTTGTGAATGCAGGACTCATCGAATCTAACCAATCTGAGGATGTCACAAGTTATGTGATTACGAGGTGCCTTCAAAATCAGTTACCTCCCACATAATCCGACCTGTGTGCTGTCATCTACACACTCAAATTCCTCAATTGAATACAAACTTGAATCTATCAATACTAATGCTCAAGTAAGTGGGATTTGGGTCATAGCAGATGTCAATGACACCACATCATCCTACGGTCAGTGATTCATACTCAGGTACAACGAAAATACTGCAAATAATGAAACTAATATTCATTTTCTTGATCTGTTTGGACAATGGTAGGAATCCTTAGATGAGTGATCAGCCCAACGCAAGGCCTCTATCTATAAAAACACAGAAATAGGCGGACAAACATCCATGCCTTGAGTAGGACTCGAACCCATGGTCCCAGCGGCCAGGCGCACCAGGTCCATGCCTCAGACCGCGTCGCCACTGTGGCCAGCAATTTAAGTATATGCAATAAATAATTTGAGAATAATTAAAAATGTTGATATCTTGACACATTAACAAATATAAATGAGATTCATGATAAAATTAGGAGATTAGGCTCTGTTAATGCTAGTTCTTATTCCAATAAATAAGAGTTACCACTGTATATCTACAAGAACTCAAAAACAAAAAATGAAGTAATTTAGTCAGTTGTTTTGTATAAATGTCAAATGTATTCTCTTAATTTGAGGAAAGAACATAAATTATAAGTGACAGGAAATACAGAGTGATCAAAAAGTCATGCAACCCAATTCTTACATGTTCTGTCAAAAAAATAAAATTACACCAAAATCATAAAAAAAAAACGTCATATTAAGTGTTGCAAATGTCCACTGTGTTCAGCAATGCATGTATTCACACGTTCCCTATACTTTAACACTTTCTGTCCTGCGTCATGGAAACGATTCACCAGATGAAAAATCATTGGTCAAAAGAGAATCAGAAAATGTATCCTTAAACTCATTCTGGCAAGTAAGAAGTTACCAAGTATTGTTCAACACTTGCGCAGAAGACACCCCGACTACTGAACGACAAATAAAGAACTGGCACAAGTGTGACGTCGTGCGTCTACTAATCCAACAAAACTGTATTAAATCGTAGCCACCAAAAAATATTTGAATATGGGTTGTGATTTTTCAATCACTCTATATGGACCTACGAATGACAACGTAAATCATGAGTTCAAGGAGTTACAAAACTATGATTTACACAGGTCAACTATCGTTAGAACACGCTACAATAAGCTCGGAATGTAGGATGGGATGGATGGTGAATGGGAGGTTAGTGGAACTGGATCAGGATTGTGTATAATGGTGGACTTTGATATTAGCAGTGATGACCTTTCAGATTTTTCTACCAGGGTTAGTATAAAGTCTATTGGCTAGGCTGTAACATCAGGTGGTTAGTTGGTAGCTGCTCACCGTAGTGGACCAGGTTCGTGTTCATCCGTGTGTGATTTGTTGTGGACAAAGTGGCACTTGGAGATGTTTTTTTCAGAGATTTTCGGTTTTCTCCCGTCAATATCATTCCACCGCTACTTCATATTCATTCACATATTATTTGTGGGGACAGACAATAGGCCCATTACAGATTGTAGTTCTCTCTAGACATAGTCTCATCCCACTGCAACAACAATTAAGTCTATCACAAGATAGTCACTTCCGTGATCTGAATAAACAGATTTTTATAATATTTGGTGTACGGAAGTATCTATAAAATATTAGTACAAATTGTGATATGTAGAATATCTTTTTATATGGATATCTAAATACATTATGTTTTAAACTAAGAGCGAGCACGACTAAAAATTAAGGAGTCTACTTTCTTAACTATCACAGAGGTATTTTGTTTTGTACATTTAACATCCAAAACAATCTTCTTGTCCTCATGTTTATCCTGAAGTCACAAAATATTTCTGGTTACTCAAACTTCCACTAAAAAGCTGGTACAATGAACAGCTTCAGTAGCTGGAAAGTTGCCTGTTACAAGATGCAACTTCTCTGAAGGGCTCTAATATTCATTTTAAATAACTTCATTACAATGTATTATGTTTGACACTGTCCTTTCTCAAAGCTGACCTGAAATGATTTTTTGCCCTAAGCAGGCCTCACATGTTGGTAACACAACAAAGTAATTTTCAGTATCCCAATAGTTCTCTCAACTATTCATGTACTTACATGCCTCAGTACTTGTGGGTTATCGGGACACATCGCTTTAAAAATAGGTTAGGTTTGGTTTAGTTAGGTTAGGTTAGGTTTGGTTTAGTTAGGTTAATGTGTGTGTGTGGATAAATGATATATATTTTATGTCATTTTTCCACACACATTAACCTAACCTAACCTATTTTTAAAGCGATGTGTCCCGATAACCCACAAGTACCCATGCCTCAAAGAACACGTACAAATACAAAATCATCTCTAATATCAGCTCCCGATTCTCAGTTTGGTGGCATACGACTTCTTGAAGCTGTAGATACTGCAGAGCTCACAATTTTGTTTCAATGTGAGCTGACTTTAAGTCACAATAAAGATACAAGTGGCATAAAAATTTTCTGGGACTTACTTCTGAGCATCAGTCGTCCAACTCTCCATTCAACAAAATATGTTGTTCTCGTGTCTTCCTTTTGCACGGCACCACGTATATGAAATGTTTCTATTATTTTTATATTCATTCCTTCACAACACTGCAAAACTGGGTTACTCTTAATAAGTATGATGAATGAATGGTTGGAAGAAAAAGGGGTGGGTGTGCACAGTGCTTTATAGCTCTACAGTGCCAGAGAGTGGGTACAAAATGCTGTTTCATCATCACAAAAGAATATTATTATAAAACAGTAACTAAAATAAATTATCTCATCTAAAATGAAAATACAATATAAAAAATAAAAACAAAAGACTGAACTATAAGAAATTTCTGATAGTCTTAAAATAGATGAAACAACTGTTCATGGCATCAAAACTAATGAACACAAAACAATTAACTATGCAAGAAGTTCACACACAACTCAATCTTAATTGAAGACCCATGGAACATCAGAAAACAGCTTAAATAAACCCATCATTTAATATTTCTGAATATCATTTTGTTTCATAAATGAAATAGAGGATTATTCATCTCTGAATAATCAATGCTGCTCTTGCCTCCATTACAAAATGTGCACAGTTTTATTATAATAGTACTCCTTCTCTCGGGGCAGTAAATATGAATTTACATAGTCTGTGATTTGATTTATACTAGCAGCTGACAACTGCATGTGAAATTCACTCTTATTTTACATTGCAAATGAGGAACACAATAAGTACTGTCACATCCACTGACCTGTATTGATTTTGTACGAAACCTAAGTGAATTTTCCTCCTGCATTCTTACAAAGTTTCTCATACACTATTTCCATACAAGTAAATTTACCGAGTACCAGAAGGAAAAGCACTTAAGAGGCAAATACGTAGGGCAGTCTAGAAGTTCACGGAATTGTGGTATAGCACTGTAATGGTAGGACATATGGCAACGCTTACCTAATCACCTTCAAAGTAGGACCCTTGCGCACACACACACTTGCTCCATCGATCCTGCCATTGTTGGAAGCGCCGGCGGAAGGCTTCGTTTGGAATCTTCCGGAGTTCGGCCGTCGCATTTGACACATCGCTGGTGGTTGTGCAGCAATTCCTTGCCGAGAAAAGCATTCCCGTCATCACCCAACCACCATACCCTCCAGATCTCGCTCCGAGTGACTTCTGGCTGTTCCCTACTCTGAAAATGGGTCTCAAGGGGACGCGTTTCGCAACCATGGAGGACATCAAATCGAATGCGACGGCCGAACTCCGGAAGATTCCAAACGAAGCCTTCCGCTGGTGCTTCCAATAATGGCAGGATCGATGGAGCAAGTGTGTGTGCGCAAGAGTACAACTTTGAAGGTGATTAGGTAAGCATTGCCATATGCCCTACCTACAGTGCTATACCACAATTCCAGGAACTTTTTAACTGCCCCTCGTATATGCATTTGCTTCTTTCCTCATTATTCTGGTAGAAAAGTAAAGCCTACAAAATGTGCATGTCTGTCAAGTATTCCCTACTAAATACCAAGTATTCATATTTGATACCAAGGACATCCAGCCTATCAATCTCTACTTTCAACCACATGAACATGGTGGCCATACTAACTCATGAGGCTGTAGAGCTTTCAACATTTTTAAGGATATTTTTGTCCAGAACAGGACATAACAAGACTGTAACTACTCAAAATATAATTTCTTCTGTCTACTTCTTAATAATTAATGACAGGTTATCAACATGTCCACAGAACCTGTGTTCTTACAAATACCAACACGGAGACTTACAAAACTACATCCAGTTTTATGACACAAGTAGGCAGCACTAGTATGCTACAGGAATCATTAATAAGTTATGATGTTTTCTATGCAGGAAACATCAACAAGTGACAAAATATAAATTATGTTTTTAAAAATAGGTATTAGGTACAAATCTCTTTCACTTGGGCCTTGGAGTTGTTGCAAAATAGTCAGATATTTTTCTTTTAGGTGTGGGACTGGCGGTAGAAAATGAGCTTCTGCTGTCACAGTGTTCCAGGTACTGCAACAGTGACCCCCTTCGCTTGTCACTGCCTCTTATATTCTCCTGTTGCTTCTCTACTGAGTCCTGGTTCATACATGGGCCTCCACATACTTCTTTACTACTGAAATTGGACAGCGACTCATTTTCACTTTTCCTTGCACCACGACTGCCTGCATCAATGGGAATTTCTGCTAAAGCATCCTGCAGCTCCTTGTGGTTCAGTCCCCCTCTGTTCTTACTAAGCCACTCACTTTCACCCTGCCCCTCTCGTCTGGGTCTTGATGACAATTCAAATGATGAAGGAACTGGAAACACAAGGTTCAATAATTCAGTGAGTTCACTACAACTCTCTATAGTCCTGCAAGTCTTCTAACAGTGTTAATTGTTATTACACCACTTACAGCCCTACAACAAAATAATAAAAGTATATTTTTAATTCTACCAGGAGTTAAAATTTATCTTGCACACCTTCTGATTACATACAAACTGCAAGGGGTTAAGCAGCTTGCACCCTGTACTAAACTAAAATTTCATGAATAAATTATCAAACAGAGAAGTTTTATCCCCTAGGATGTTGTCAGTTTTTTGCTCTGGACATCTATATTACTAAGACTATTGGGTACTGGGGGTTATTTCCCAGTAGAAAATTGTGGCCGAGGTATGAAACTGATTATTTATTACAGTTCTCTATGTGACAATGAAGGAAAACTCCCACCAACCCTGTCGCATGCTAAAAGCTAGCTGTCAGACCTGAAGATGATGCACAGAGAAGTGCCTTGACCCTAGCAATAATATGACCCAGTGCTGTAATATGAAACTGAAAAGCAGTGAGATTACCAAACTGATCAAGGATTTGTCATTTACTGTATGATTATGTAATTCTTATTCTGTAAACAGCTGTCCTTCAACGAATCTGTGCAAACATTAAAATTCGACTCTTAGAAACATTTTTAAAAATTAACTGGATTTATTGTAGAGGTTCACAAATAAACCACGCTAATGGCATAATTGCTGGCCTCTTCATCACCAGATCTTTCAATCCTAAGATAACCTTAACACAAAAAACACTTTTTTCCATGTTATCCAAGGAATTTCATGGTGTATACCTCAAACCTCTGTGCTAAATACAGTACTGCATAAAACATTACCTTACTGTGGCCACATTATCATACACTTCAACCCTGAAAATGAAGGAGATACATTCCTCTGAAATGTTGGTAACCACCTACAAGACTACAAGGTGTAAAAAATCAGAAGACAACCGACGTCATACTGGTATATGACTGGTATGCACATGAAGTTAATATCAACGTGTCACGACGAGAAAACCAAAATGGAAGCATTCTAGCAATTTATTTGATGAAACAATCATACTTCTAACCTTCATTATGAACACGTACGGCTGTAACTTTTGTTTCAGTATGTATGTAGTTTTGAAATAGTAAACAAATTTGCTCACCAAACCATAAATTCATTCATGTTTTAAGGCAGAATTTTATCCAGTTTAACCAACCTTACTTATTTCTTCTTCTTCCTAAGATGGTTCCACTTTATATGGGTCATCAGATAGATTCTATAATTAAAAACCTACTATGGAGCAATGATACACTTTAGGTGTTTTCATTTCTGATGAAAAATAACTTACTAAAATGAGAATCACACATCTATGCACTTCTTACTTTTATAATTTGTTTCATTTAGTATTTTATTATAGTAGTAGACCACCTTAACAACTTTGGCACCCAAACAAAAGACTATCTGAATGTACCAAGATAACTTGGTGTAAAAGTATGCCTCATAACATTAAGAAAACATATGTAACATTAAATACTTGTATCATTCAATGTGGTGTTGGAGAAGAATAGAGAAGATCAGGTGGACGGATCGAGTGACCAACGAAGCAGTATTGAGGAGAGTCAACGAGCAAAGAAGCATTCTGCAGGCGATTACACGAAGGAAAGCTAACTGGCTGGGACATATTATGAGAAGGAATGGATTAATGAGTGATATCACCGAAGGCCAGGTTGAAGGAAAGAGAGGACTAGGAAGAAGATTGATACAGCTAACCGACGACCTTAAACAAGGAAAGAAGATGACGTTCCAGGAATTAAAGCGAGAAGCTGAGAATAGGGACAACTGGAGAGCTCTTTTTGGGCAGAGCAATGGACCTGTCATAAGACAGAACACTTAATAATAATAATCATTCAAAATTATCTTTAACTTTGACATTTAAAATGAAAAAAAAAACCATTATGCGTTCTTCACATGATGTGCACGAAATCACATGTCTGCATGATTCAACTTAACTGCTGGAAGGATTTGGATAAAATTTGGTTGACTTTGAGCCTTCGGTGGCTAACCTAAACTTGTTCTTTATATGTATGATTTGAGGTTTTCACAGCAGTGAGTATGAAGATTTCTGTCTTCTGGGTCGTTACACTGTGTAGTATGGTAGATGTTCAGAATGCTCGCCACTGGACCCAAGGTTCACAGGTTTAAACCCGGGCAAGGTCGATGGATTTTTAAGGGTGATAAAAATCCGTATCACAACTCCCTTCAGGGGGAAAGTAAAGTTGGCAGTCCTATGTCATAGATTTACGGCAGTTAAAAGAACCTTACAAGCATGAATGAGATGTTTTGTAAGCAAAATTCAGTGGCCATTTCTCACCCAAGTCTCTCCCGGATTCACTACTAAATGGCTCTAACAGACAAATCAAAATTGAGTAGAAATTGTGCAGAGGCAGCGGGCTTGTCACTCACTACTCATAAATGCACACGTCAAAAGACAAAGAAACCTCCCACATGGGAGGAGGCCAAGACTCAGATCAGGCTGTTGCGCCATAAACAGAAGTAATGTAACCGACATTATCTTTTGTGAATACATTTTCTTTAAAATTAGTAAATTAAGAAATATGTCAACAGGTATATCATAGGCTATACTAAATACAAAGACAAGGTTCTCAAAATCTACATTGTTCTCTAAACCAGTGGTATTCAACCTTTTTTGTTCGCGTACCCCCAGATATAATTTCTCTTCAACTTTGTACCCCCAAAGTTGTTGGTGAATAATTCAAGTTATACATAGTATATAATCTACATCTAAAATAAATTAAGTAAATTATATTACTGATTATTCAGTGTTTATTATAAAACAATATATATATATATATTTTAAATTTCACGTACCCCCTAAGATGTCTTCGCATATCCCAAGCTGAATACGACTGCTCTAAACAATCAGTTTCTAACAAACACTTAAATCAGAATATGGCATATAGTGGGACAGCGTTTAATATATATAACATGCTTCAAAGCTGCTGGATCTACAGAAACATGCATCATACATTTATTGATGGCAGATATCCAAATGTATATCAGCAGACTGATGGGTAATGACACCTATAAAACACAAACACCCTTTGCACATTCCATGAAAATGGTTTGGTTAGTCCTACAGAATACGATACCAAACTACATCTTAAAAGCCCAGGGTAATTAGAGAATAAAAAGTCTTGTTGACTTCACATTAAATTATAAGAAATTGAAGGATATAACAAAGGATAACTGGTGATATTCATTATTTATTTTGCACAATCCACAGTTCTGTTGGATCACAGCCCACATAAAGGCTGTATAACATCACATTTATCTCAAATATGTTTCTGTAAAAACCCTTCAAATATTTTTTAACAGTAATTATTAATGTACAGGGAGGTTCCTAGAAACTACCTGGTTTTATAATATTCTTAATTGATAGTTTCAATATTGCTGTTTAATGATTTTCACGTACTGATCTCATTCCCAACTGACGAGTCAGTCAAGTAAATGCAGAAAATGCACCTCTTCAAAATTCAACCCTTATTTTCCTCAACTGGGGGTGGGGTGGGGGAGACAGGCAGCCAACAGGGCTGTGGTCCACAGAAGTCAAGGTGTCATGTCAATGCCATCCACCTGTATAGGGCTGTGTGGATGGTGACATTTGTTCGCCAGCTCTCGAGGGACGCTGAGAAGACAACTGTTCCATCAGCAGACCTTATCTGGCAAGTGCCAGAAAGAGGCTTAAAACTCAGAACTGAAGTAGTAGTTTCTGCAAAACACTGGCAATCACCTACAAGACTACAGGGCGTCACAAACCAGAAAACTATAATAAGAACTGTCACCACCACAAACACTTTAAAGGCTGTTCACCATGCAGGAGACAGGACATATCAGCCATTCCACCAAATGCTGTCCTACAACATACAACCTAGAGAAAACCAGAATTAGTTATCAAAACAAAAATAAGAGGGCAGTATTAATCCCCACCTACACAGACAAATAAAAGAACTACAACCACAAAGACATTTATGGATTCATTTACATAATTTTGGAATTTAGGAAATTCGTGAGTATAAAGTCCAATTTGAAAGCTCCTGAAACAGATTTCTGGATGTGTCGATAGGATGGAAAAGGGGGCGGGGGAGAATAAGAAAACAGAACTTAAAATAAACACAACAGAGAACAGAGGAACAGTATGGAATGGGAATGTTTGAAAAGTTCGTTAAATACGTAGACAGTGGAATGTTGAGAACAAGGAAATTGAAGGGATAATGCGGAACACAAACAAGTGTAGAAAATGGGAACCGTCAACACAGGGCAGGAGTAGTGAAAACCTAAATAACAATCTGGTGATAATCTCTGCACAGAATCTACATCTGCAATAAGCAAACTGCACTTTCAAACTATTGGACGAATGTTGTCACGTGTGACACTGTTCAAAACTACTCCATACATGACACACATTCAGGTCACATTTTAATAAGTTTTAATAAGTTTTAAATAAAATGTATCAATCTGCATTTGAATGTTATTTAAGCTCACTAACCACACAATTCACAACAACCCTCTTTTATCTACCAAAGATGAATGTCATCATGCACTTACATGTGGCGGAGGGTGACTTTGTCTTCTTTGAGAGAGCTTGGTACAAAAATGGATACAGATCGGTGATGAGTCTACCTCCTCGGAAACTGTGTTCATAATACTGACACAAGAGACGCCACAGTTGACCTGAAATACACACCAATTCAACCTCATAAATCAAACTTTTCTTATGAATTATAAATAAGAAATGTAGAAGAACAAACATTTAAAGATGTGTTAGATGGAACACCAAGATCTAAAAACACGTAATTATTTATCTCTAACAGGTTACGTGCCAACATCTGTCAAATCAGCAAAAAATATAAACTTACCAACTGTCACTTGCTGGTCATTGAGAAATGTGTACATGTGGTACACCTGATCTCGTAGCTTGGTGTCTCCGAACGTGAAATAAGCAAGGTGACGCCCAGCCTCAGAAGCAGCCATTAACTGCAACAGTGTCTTGAGTTTAGCATCACCTCTAAAAGCACCACAACCCCAATTACCTGATGCCACTCCTGCTAACCTATCACCGGGTTGAAACTCTGGGCAATGGAAACCGGCGTATGCCTGCAAGACCAATTAAAATAAATTAAAATGACTCTTGAAATTTAAAAAAAATCACATATACAGGAAGAAATTCAATTACTTTTATCATCCTATATCGAAGCAAGTTTCAAAAAGCACACATATAATAAATCGAGAAAAATAAGATTTTATAAATCACACTGAAAGAGGAGGAATGATGAAACATCACAAATTTTCTAGTAAAATTAAAAAAGAGTAAGCAAAATAAATATACAGATATAATATAAAGGATATAATGCTACTAAGAAAAGAAACATGTTCATGACTTCCTCCAATTTTAGAGCGAGATCACCCTCGTATTTACGCACCAATTCAACAGAGCTTCATATTTCTATGTCTGGTGCTAATATTACAACGGTGACCTCCTATGTAGAGATTTTAAAAGGTCATATCACTTCAAAACAGAGACAAGTTATCTGATGCATTAAGGAGAAGTCACTTTACTTGCCAAAAAGAAAATGGGTTGATAAAAGGGTCCTAAGCATGGAAGAGGGACCAACCTGTAAAGCTCAAAAAAATTTAAGAAAACAATAAAAAGACATGACATTTGAAAATAATGAAAAGAACGACCTTCCCCTCACGCATACCTTGTTCAGTTCTCGAAGCAAGTTACTTGGAGTGTATTGCACATTGCAGTTGCCAAGTTTCAGAGCATCGATTGCAACAACAGAGCACATTCGCCTACCACTACTGTCACGAGGAGTCATATCTTGATAATTTCCCATCCATTCAAATGTACTACTGTAACCTCTGTAGGTGCTCAACCGTTCACAACCTGACAAGAAACATAATCACTCCACTAATACAATAACAAAGAACACTCCATAAAAGTCTTCAGTGTGTATAAAATTACAAATACGTTTTCATAATGCTAAGTAATTTAACTCTGTTAAAGTTACCACTAGTGAAGATTTTTGATTCCTCAAAACTGTCAGGAAGAAACTCAAATGTCTAGTACAGTCCATAACTGATTCACCAACTGAAGAATTCAATGAAGGTTTCGCCCTGATGACGGAGGCAGTATGACCTCTGAAACGTTGGTTAACATCGACCAGACTACACAGCGCAACAACCCAGAAGACAGAAATCTTCATACTCATCGCTGTGAAAACCTCCAATCTTACATAAAGAATTCAATATTTTTAATAAACTTTAACCATATTACTGATTTTAACATGAAATTAACTTTCAGCACATCCAAAGCACAGTTTTATAAAACTCGGCTGTACCCACACTACATGGATCAGAATTTTACATTCTAAGTAACAAAAACATACTGACACAGAAGCAAAGCACTGCCCTGCATAATACTAATTTATATGTTGAGCTGGTCTGTCTACATAGATAAAATATTTAACGGCATGGCAAGGCTTCACAGAACTCTATGCAGTTACTCAAACAATTGTTTATGATCAATAAATTTTACTTTACTCCTCACCAACAATCAATAGGGCTTCAGTGGCATCAAGAGCTTCTGTAAAAAGTCGAGCAACAATCAATTCTGGGCAGATTACAAAACGGATTTCTTCTTGCACACAGCCTCTTCCAAGCACTCCTCCACCCACCAGCCTGATGAAGGGATAACAAAACCATGGAAGCAAATATAATATGTTAATAGAGTCGACTTAGAATAAACAACATACTGCACGACACATACTTGTTCGCAAAGTCAACTTGAAGCAAACCTTCCCCATCATTTTCTATGGTGCCATGGCTGGTGATATGGAGCTTTGTGAGAAGCTTCTGAGACCTGTCCCACTGAGGCATATTACTGCGACTCACATATTGACGAGCGTATGTCACCACACCATCAGGGGCTGCACTGACAACAGGAAAGATTATCATGAATCATTGAACATGGGGCAACTTGCATGAGGCAAACAATTTGCTAGCTACCTAAGTAACCACCAATGACCAATCCAGTTCACATCTGGCACAAAAATAGAATGCATCAACTTTCTGGCCGCTTCACTGTGAAAATAGCCGATATTTAAGATGCTTCTTTGTGTAAAACAAAACAAGTGAAAATTGCACAAGAAGAATTTCTGGATCCTGTAACCTTTCAAAGCAACCTAGAAGCTTATGTAATGAAAATGGCCTGCCATGAAAATCACAGGTCTCAGTGTACAAGCAAATTACAGATTAAATTTATGCTAGCAATTCTTCAATGCAGGAAAGTAAACACATTCCACATTTAGAAAATCTTAACTGTAATAACAGTTAACACATTAATGCAGAGAACCATAATGCTAAAGCGGCCCAACCACATACGAGTCTGGCTTGCGAGTCCGGCTCGGGTTCCATTGAGCCAAACTCGTTTGTGGGTGTGGTGTCACGAGCCAAGTCTGCTATGCATGTGTGGTGAAATATATCCGAGCCCGGCTCACGAGCCAAGCTCGCCGAGCCAGACTCGCAAGTCAGACTCGTACGTGGACGGGCCGCTTAAGATACACTTATGTACGTTCCACAGTCCAGAACTGTAAAATTATGTTCTGATGCAATATGATTTTTGATATAAATATGTCTATATTTTAGGGTCAGTGTCATTCGGCAAAAAGTGGAACGAAAAGTGTAACAATGGTTTATCAACAAATAAACAACAATGGTTACCTGGGAAACTTCATCTGTTTATCAACAAATCGACAATAATGGTTACCTAAGGAACATCTATTTACACGGCATTTTTGTTACCTAGGAAATGTCATCTGTTTACTCGGCATTGTAGTTACCTATAAAACATTTCATTACATTACCTTACCTTATCTTACATTACATTACTTTACATTACATTCAGCTACCACAGACCTAATTTAAGCGTAACTAATTGAAGTTGAATAATCAATGTCTTAATCAAACTTATCACAATTGTAAAGCATGTATAAAGGAAATATTTAGAATAAAGCCAATATATAAACTTCCTTTCTGTATAGACGTATTTACGTCAAATTCTCCGGAACCGTGGTTCCACTGACAACTTTTTTCATTTATACTAATAAATACTACCAACAGTGTAACCATTATCTCTCTGAGTTCTAGATAATACTGGGATGCTTCTGTTTCTTGTTTCTACCAACAGAGGGTGTCAAAATGCTATAAATTTAATTTGGAAGTTGCACTACTAAGAAACTGTTGTAGTCTTTGCAAAATGGCTGTGTCACATTCCATTCCACAAAAAGCACTGCTTCTAATTGCATCCTTACAAAAAGTAGTATTAGTTGGTACCTTAGATGCTGCTGAACAACTTGGTGTTTCATATTTGTTATGTACGTAATTTAGTTTCAAATTTTTAAAGTACTTCATTCTGTGAGAAATTATTGGACAACGGGGATTATGTACACTTCATAAGTCTGTGTCTCTATAATAAAACCATAACATTCCAAGCTGAAAATAAGGGCAAATGCTTTAAAGAGTACTTGCCTTTGGTGCAGACCCTTCGAAAGTAATGCAGTAGGCACTTAAGTTTCTCAGGCTTTGGTACAATTCCACCATGCATCTGAAATAACCTGATTAAACATTTAACATACATTAAAATAAGATAAGTATCCTGCTTTCACATACTTTTGCATGGTCTCTAAGACCAGAGATGAAAATAAATTCTAGAATTTCTGATAAAACTTTACTTCAATTTTTTTAATCTTTTAAAGCCAAAGCTCATATCTAAATAATGTTTAAGAATTTGGTCTGTACTGTAAAGAGAACATTACTCTTCACAATTATAAACATGAAATGGTAAATGATGTTTACGGAAATAATCCCTGCTTAAATTAAGAATCATAGAAAACAAATGAATAAAAAATTCAGAGTTACTTATTTTTGAAGCAGGTGGGACAGAGTTCCCACTGGGCTTTAAAGATCCATATGGTGCAGTCAGAAAACATAAAAATTAATAACTATCTGTGCATATGACAACACACTCAATTGACAAAAAGTTGCACATTTGAAATCAATGTTAAGAAAAAAGCTGTCCCACTATACACCATGTAGGCACTTGGGGTGAGTGGAGGTATAGCTCCTACTCATTCTTGACCTCGGCACTAGATGGGGGTGAGTGGTCAGCATCATGCCCCAGCCGTGCTTTCCCCCCGGTAGCCATTGGATAGGAGGCTGGGTGGGCCCCAGAGCCGGTCTGGACGCAGAGGCTAGAGGAAATATCCTCAGCCCCCGTTGGGGATCAAACCCCGGTCGCCCAGTCTGTAGCCAGTTACTATACCAACTGAGGTACGCTGGCTCACGAAATCAATGTTAGATTTAGAAAAAAAGAGGAGAAATATCTAAAGACCAATTAAGAGAAGCCATAAATGCTAACAAAAATCAAGAAAAGCAAAATTGTTATTTCAGCAAAGCATGGCCAAGACCTCTGCAAAGACCTTTATGAGCTCCTTGAAATGGTGACTCACACATCAAGTTGTTTGACCATATTGATACTCCTTATATGGTAATTAAAATGCATTTGTAAAATGTTTATAATATTTCAAAAAGTGCTCACCTGTTGAAATTGATATCAGGATAGTGTGCATATTCAGACTGCCGCTTGGCAGTATTACGTCGGGGGAAGGTACACAAGAAGGCATTTGCTAGAAGACACGCAATCTGCAGCTGACTGAAGCTCAGCGCATGGCTACAATGCTGAACAAGCAATGGCACTGGCGCAGTCAGCAATACAGGCAACTGCAGAGCAAGCTGGATAATTTTTGGGAGCAGTGTTGCAAAAAAGCTGTTTGTTTCATCTTCAGAGAACACCTCCTTAAATAGTAAGTGGAGCACTGAGAAATCCCAGCGTTCAATGTACTTGGAGTTGTACGACAATATCACAGTCTCTAGCTGCTGGCTTGACACTATCGTCTTCAGCAGAGCTTCCTGCACGAGCTCCCAGCGTTGCCGCAATTGACTCTTCTCATCACCCTAAATCATTGAACAAATCAAAGTTACGTACCATCCCTGCCACTTAACCAATTTTATAGAAGTAAAGTAAAGCTGTCCCACCATACACCATGTAGGTGCTTGGGGGAGAGAATGTATAGCTCCTACTCATTCTTAATCTCAGCACTAGATATAACATCTATATTTATTTACTTTCTAATTCAATTCTTATTTTATATTCTAACCTCCTTTAAAAAATTGAGAACTGTTTCTAAAGACACGCACAAAGAATCCAACACCAGATTTTTTATTATAAAAACACCAAAGCTCACACACCTCCTGGACCGGATACAAGTTGTGTTCTGAAAAAGGCATGCGAACGTGATCACTGTCCCAGCGATCTGTCAAATGCTGTGGATGTGGCTTAGGAGGCTGTCCACAAGGAACAACAGGCAACTAAAAAATACAATTAACACTTAAGTCTCAATATTACAATATTTTGTAAGACTTGAGGTTCTCACAGCGGTGAGTATGAAGATTTCCGTCTTCTGGGTTGTTGCTCTGTGTAGTCTAATAACTACCAGACCACACAGCGCAACAACCCAGAAGACGGCAATCTTACAATATTTTATTTGTGCACTGAAGAGTTTTCTCCACTACAGGCAAACACAAACAAATAAATAAAGTATTTTCAGATTATATAAGACTTGAGCTGCATCAAAATGGAATCGTACTCCAACATTTCCGATGATGGAGACAGAGAGCGTCTCTGAAACATTAAGCTACAGTTCCATTTTGATGCAGCTTGTCGCCTGAGATTTTATTGTATTCTCAGATTATTCAGGACTAGCCCTGAGGATGATGACAGAGATGTTCCTTGAAACGCTGGCAAGTTCCAACCATCTGACATGGCTGATAGCACAAGATGATTCTATTAATGAGAACTGCCATAAAAGCTTCATATTATAAAAAACAAAAGTCGGTTCTGAATAGTTAAGTAGTTGGTGTACTGCAATCTAGATTACAACGTTTTTGGACGTTCTCCATAGTCTGGTATTCTAAAACCAGACAACGTTTCAAAATCAGATGTCTACATCTTCAGGTATAGGGAAGGAGGCACCTTCTCTATTGGATCTGCTACAAAGAGCTAACCTTGATCAGTGTACAATCAAAGTCACAACAACTACACAAAACTGAATGCACATGTAATTCTTCTGACTTGTCCAGCGTAATGGACCCAATTGAGTATAAGCCACCTTTTCCTAGACTTGAGGATGATGACAAATCCAGTCTTTGAAATATGTGTTTATTAGAATACTAGCTGGACAAAGTCCAAGAACTCACTAATCCAGATTACAAAAAAGTTTGATTGCCCAAGTTACAGTTTGTATCTCTCATTTAATACATCTAAACTACCATGTGCAATAAGGGGTCCACAGTGGCTGTGCGGTCTGAGGCGTGGACCTTGTGCCGCTTGGTCGCTGGGACCGTGGGTTCGAATCCCACTCAAGCCATGGATGTTTGTCCGCGTTTTTCTGTGTTGTGCTGTCCTGTGTACAGGTAGAGGCCTCGCGACGGGCCGATCCCTCGTCCAAGGAGTTCTACCGAATGTCTATAGATCAAGCCAATGAAAAGTTGGGAACCGCAGTGCTCAGGCACTTGAAGAACGGGTCATTCCCAGTATGTGCAATAAATCTTAACTACATAAGAATAGGACAGTCCAGCAAATGAAATTCACATAAAAGTAATTTTCTCTCCCTGTCAATGAATTTCTCTTGAATGTCTGTTTTCAGATACTGTAAATTTATATTCTCCTCTCAAAATAGAATATCAAGCATCACAAATGTACAGAACAAAGATACGCACACACACACAAAATTAAATGGACCAGTGTTTGATTCCTGACACAGGCTCACATTGGCGGCACTGGCACAGATGGTGATGATACACAATCATTATTATTTTGTGCAGCATATAGTATCCTAACAATTTCTGAAGTAAATAACAAATTTGTAGACCTTATTCTTCTCAGAATTTCACAATGAATCAATGATTCACAGTTACTGTCACTATTATACAAAATGCAAAACAAAAATCACCTGAAAGAAGACAGAGTGGCAACGGGATGGGATAATTGGTGGCAAGTTTGGTGCAGAACCGTTCCTGATTTCATCCAGAG